CCTGCGCATTTCTTAGCCGAAACACAGATGAGACCATTGTTACCGAGCGAGATCCAGGTGGAAGAGGTATCACCAAAACGGCATTGATTGTTTTTACAGTCAATCATGTCTAAGATTTGGAAAAGATGGCAGAATGAATATCTGCCTTGCCTTCAACGACGACCAAAATGGAATCAAACAGCACAAAGTTTATACGATTGAATTAATTTGTATGTAAATATTAAAATATAGTGTGAATGTGTGGGTGTTGCGAGCAGATAAAACTCGCTGACTTGCAAGCAAAGTTTAGTCTTTGAGATATAATACCTTTGTACATGAAATGAAGTTATAAAATAGAAAAGTCAAAACAATATTGTTCCAGCTGATGGTGATATAGTTGGCCAGGTGTATTATGTGCATGGCTAGGTGTATTATATAATGAGACACTGGTATGTTGATAGCATGTATTAGTGTGTAAATAAACTGCTTGTTGTTGCTAGGGTTGAATAGTATTTTGATTTTCAACATGTCTAACAACTGTTAGTAAGCTGTTTCGTTTGTTGTTAAGTTCTTTTATCTTTGTGTCTAGGTTGCATATTAAGGATGACTGTTCGTTGATTTTATTCTTTAACCTTTAAGTACCAGATGCTCTAATTTCGGTTGATAATTCAGTGACTACTCTAAGTTCACACAGTTCACTTATAAATATCTCAAACGATTTCTCTATTCTAGATTCTAATTCACTAACATACTTTAATAGATAATTATTAAAGGTGTTATCTGTGTTGATTCCTCATATATTTTGTGAACAATCACCAGTTTCTTCTTGGTTTTGGTCTGAGGTTTGCATTGCTAAGTTTGTCGAACAACTTTAAGTGATTGGTGGGTGAGGTCCATTAAGAGTGCTCCATTTGTTCTTCTTCAGCTGTTCTACCAACACATAGTCACCAAGCAGCAACAACTGTTCTCTTGTCTTTTTTTCCTTTTCTATTTTGTTTCATCTTCTGTTTGTAGATTGCATCTTTCTGGTTGATCTTGTCATCCTTGTCAATCTTACTGTCTTTGGTTGTAAGAATCGGAAATCGGGTCACCATTGTGGTATTAACAACAGTTCAATATGCTAACCGGCGGCCTGTCATAATACATTCCGACACTGATCTATATATTACATATCCTTTTCTTTATAACATGTGGTAACCATGGTGTGTGTAGTTAACGAAATGCAGCTGAAAGCGAATGTTTATAAATAAATCAGTGACTATGGTTATAAATTCAATTTTTGTGGAACTTTTACTGCTCATGTAGTCCATTACATGTTAGATTTTTGTGGAACTTTTACTGCTCATGTAGTCCATTACAGGTTAGATCATGCATACCAAGATGGCGTGTGGTCGTTGTTATCAGAGCTTATCAAATGTTCGTTTTAAATTGGCTATTTTAGTCATTACTGTTTTGTTTTGCTCCAATGTTGCTTCGGAATATCTTGAGCAAAGTTATGTGTCGACTTTGGTAGCTTCTGGCGTAAGATATGGCAATTTTTGCCGTTTGAGGCCGACACGCTTCAGGAAGTATTGTGTGAGATATTATTCAAATACCAATGCAAGTTTTCAAGTTCAGCGTCTCATTCGCAGCGGAGATACTGCAGTACGTTTAAACCCTGGTCCTAACATGCTTAGATGCTTCCTACAAAATGCTAGAAGTTTGAAAGCTGCTGTAAAAGATGAACGTTCAACCGAAAGCAAAATTGGTTTATTTAAGGATGTTGTATATGGGCAGGATTTAGATGTAATTTGCATTACTGAGACATGGCTAAACAATACGGTTTATGATCACGAATTGTTGCCTTCAGGCTATAAAATCTTTCGGAATGATAGGAAAGGTCGAGTTGGTGGTGGGGTATTGACTGCAATTAAATTAAATTTTCTGTTGAGAGAAATTGAACACTCATTCGATTCGTTGGAATGCGTTGTAGTGGAGATGGATATAAGCAATCATCAATCTGTTTTGTTTATAAATTGTTACCGCCCACCAACTGACAAGGATTTTGTTAACAATCTTAAATCCCTGCTGAGTGTTATTCAAATTAACAAGTACTGGGGAATTTTTATGGTTGGTGATTTTAATTACCCAGAAATTAACTGGATTAACGGCTCTGGCTTTACAAGCTCAGTCGCCAGCGAAGAACAGTATTTGCTGATTATATAATGGAGTTATATTTATTTCAATTGGTTGATAAACCAACGAGGCAAGACAATGTGCTTGATTTAGTTTTGACTAATTTACCCTCCTTTGTAACTTTCATTGATACTGGCTTGGCTTTTGTTGAAACTGGTTTACCTTCTGACCATTATCCTGTGGTCTTTGAAGTTAATGTTGCATTAAAATTAAAAGATTCCCCTAAAAGACTATGTTACGATCTAAAAAATGCAGATTTTACATCCTTAAATAATGTGCTGTCTTTGTTACCACTCAGCGCTGGGGTTGAATCAATAAACTCTCAAGCTGAGCTTGATGATGCATGGAAATTATGGTGTTCTTTAGTCTCTACAGCCGTTGACTCACACATTCCGACTTTTTTATCACAAGGTAAAAATCGACCTCCTTGGATAAATAAAGATCTTGCTAATGAGATTTAGAAGAAAAAAACTCTGTGGAAACGTGTAAGAACTTCTACTAGTAAAACCCTTAAAGAGAAGTTTAGGAAAATGAGACAGTCGATAAAAAATTGGATTCGTCGTGAAAGAAGGGCTTATTTAATTGATATTGCAAATCAAGTTTCCACAAACCCTAAACGTTTCTGGTCTTTTTATTCATTTAAGAATAAAAAGAAACCTATTCCAGATAGAATAAACTATAAGGGTGTGTCGTTGACAGATGATACTATTCGAGCTGAAGCATTTAATGACTATTTTACATCCATTTTTAAAGATCATTCAAATTGTTTACCTCCGTTCACTGATTCTGCAATCTCTGGTGATCCTAGTAAATTAGAACTAATTCAAAACACTAATTCAAAACACATTGAGTCCCTCACTGACGATCTTTATAAATACTTCATTAAGAACAGGTCTTGTTATATCAGATTGGAAGCGAGCAAATATTCCTCCAGTTCACAAGAAAGGCCCTCGTGCGGAAGTCATAAACTTTAGACCTATGTCACTTCTACCTATTGTTTCCAAAATTCAAGAGAAGTGCGTTGTTCGTGATTTCTTTCCCTATGTGATAAAAAGGATCCACCCTACGCAGTATGGCTTTCAACCGGGGTCATCATGTGCCAGTCAGCTACTTGAAGTTTTTCACAAGATAGCAAAATCATTAGAAAAGGGGTTTGAAGTAGACATCATATATTTAGATTTCTCGAAAGCTTTTGACTCTGTTTGTCATGCTAAGCTTCTCAGGAAGTTACAAAATATAGGTATTGATGGACCTCTGTTACATTGGTTTAGGAACTACCTTATTGGACAGCAACAATGTGTAGTGGTGAATGGTTCCTATTCTTCGTGGGCTGAGGTTAAGTCAGGAGTCCCGCAGGGATCGGTCCTGGGGCCCATGTTGTTTCTCTTTTATGTGAACGATCTACCTAATACGGTTGAAAACTCAGATATTGCCATGTTTGCAGACGATTCAAAGTGTTTTAAATGTATTACATCTGTTCAAGATTGTTTTGATCTTCAATCTGATTTGAACAAAATATGTCACTGGTCACGCGAAAATGAATTGGATTTTCAATCGAAAAAATGTGAATTTTTGAAAGTTACAAGGAGACGCCAAGGATTTGATCGTTGTTATTACATTAACTGGAACGAAAAGTTAAAGTGTGTATCAAGTCAAGTTGACCTTGGGGTGTCGGTATTTCATGACCTCTCTTGGAATACTCATATTGATTACATCATAGCCAGGGCAAACCGAATGCTTTAAAAAGGAAATTTTATTTTGTAAGGTTACGATCAGTATTTGATGGAGATAACATCAGGTCGTACAAAATTATTTGTCCAAAATGTCGTAGTGTTAACACTATGAAATTATGTACTTGTTGACTGACTTTAATTTTAGCTTAATAATTGTAGGAGTAAGGCAGTTAACCTTGTAAGGGACTTCATGTCCTATTGTTATTCTGCCTAGTATAACTGTTATGTTGTAATAACGTCTATACTAAATTTAATAAATTCAAATTCAAATTCAAATTCATTACTTCCACTGCAAGTAATGTATGGTTGATTCTTTGGGGTTTGTGGTTCCAAAATCTTTCCTGTGACCATGATATAGGTGCTGCACGTACTAGCTCTTCTATGTGATCTTCACCAGGCTGCTGTAGATCCATTTAGCTCTCCCTGTTGGCTATGTTGGTGGTTGTGCGCAGATGTTGATGGTTACGTCGTTTGTGGTACAATGGATTATGCCATACTCCTTGCACCATTTTCCGAATTTGTCTGATGTATATTGTGTCCCACATAAGGAAAATTAGATGATTCTGCATATTCAGCCTGAGATTATAACTGGTTAATCTCTCTAGAGGACTTTCTTCAGAGTGTGGTCGTTCTCTTCGACTGTTTTTTCAGCCACCATGATTTCGTAGACAATTGCATGAGCACCAGGTATTCCTTCCCCCGCAATGCGATACATAACTCTTGTTTGACATGATAAATTAGCTCGTAATAAACATCTTGCATCTGCATGGACCCTCTTCTCCATTCTTGGAGGCTGTTGTATAATTTTCGATTTACTGTATCTCTCCTCTTCGTAACTGTTATAATATATTTCATACAAACCAAAATCTAAACATCTTTTCTATTTTACATCTCGACTAAAACGAACGAACAGACAACGTTTTTCCACGTGGCATAAATTAACTTACGCCACAGCTAACCCAAAATAATAATAACGCAACCATCATAAATACATCTCACACTCCCCCTGTTGGGCATGTATCCTATATGCCCAACACCTTACTGTTCGAGAAGTTCCAAACGTACTATGTTCTTACTTATATAACACTGTGCATGCATTACTCTATAATTACGCTAACTCTTGTTCAAATCCTCAATCCACTGTCTTGTTAAAAGTTCACCTGCGATAGCTGCCTTTCTTCTTGGTCTTGCAGTCTCCGTTGGCTCCTGATCACCGTCCTCTTGCCCCGATTGTATTACGTCCTTTTCAAGTTTGCAGTTTATTTCCATAGGATACAGCAGTTGTAATGGGCGCCTTAATGTAGTCACCCTGCCTTTCTTGCGCTTGTCACTCCGCGGATGGTTCTCGTCGTGAACTAATACTATGTCTCCAACCTTCACAGGAGATCTCTCTACTGCCTTCTTAGGACTCTTACCCGCATGCGCATTTCTCAGTTCTAGCAAATATTCGTTTCTCCATCTTCGCCAGAAGTGTTCAATAACGTCATTGAGATAACGTACTCTTTTGTTGAGATCATCCGTCGATAAGTCGACTTGAAACTCTTCATCCTCCAGATTTTCTCGGTGCCAATCAGGTAAACTTAGGATTCGTCTTCCAATCATAAGGTGGGCTGGGGTTAAGGGTTCGTCAACATCTTCCGAGGACACATATGATAACGGTCGACTGTTCAGGATCGATTCTGCCTCCGTGACAGCCGTAACTAATTCGTCATAAGATAATCTTGCCCGTCCGATGGTCCTCTTCAAACATCGCTTCAATGACCCCACAAGCCGCTCGAAGAAACCTCCCCACCACGGGGCCTTCTCCAGATTAAACGACCAATGCATTCGTTGTTGCAAGAAATATTTCTTAACTTGAGGATCACGCATGAGTGACATTGACTCCTTGGAGGCGGCCTTGAAGGTTTTTGCGTTGTCCGAAACGACAAGCAAAGGGGTTGAACGTCGTGACGTAAATCTTCTAAAACTCCTGAGGAAGGCTTGCGATGTCATGTTGGGAACAACTTCTAGATGTACCGCTCTAGAGACACAGCAGGTAATCAGACAGATCCATGCCTTCTCGTCTAAATCGTTCATAGATTTCACATATAGGGGACCGACGTAGTCCAAACCGACGTACGTAAATGGTGGTGCTTCCTTTACTCTAAACTCGGGCAATGGTGGAGGGTTAAGTGTCCTGTATGCTCTACCATCTTGCTTCTTGCAAGTAACGCAATTGAAAAGGAGTTTTCGTACAAAGCTCCTTCCACGCACTAACCAGAATTTCGAACGAAGTTCTGTTAACGTCGCCTTTACTCCCCCGTGCATTACTCGAGCAAGACAATCCCGTATGATTAACGTGGTAAGGTAGTGAGCTGTATCTAACAGGATTGGATACTTTGCTGAATATGGGAAGTTAGAGTTAGATAATCTTCCCTTACATCGGACGACTCCGCTTTCATCCGTGAACAGGCCGAGATCTCGATTCCACTCCTTGAATTTCTCGTTCACTTTCAGTTTGACCTGTAGTTCCTTGATCCATAGAACTTGAGCCAATTCGATGTCGACTCGCGTGACTTCTGAGTTTGTTGAAAGATCTTCCTGTCTAACTTTCGATTTAAGCAGCTTGATGAACTTCAAGACGACAGCTGTAACTCGTAGCAAACGACCCAGGGTGCTGTAATCTCTACAGCTAATAACATTGCTTATGGAATCCTCTGATCCATGCACTAACATCGTTGAACGAGTGTCCTTCGACTCCTTGTCCAATGCTCTCTGGTCCTTGACCTTCATCTCTGCTCGACACTCTTCAGGTACAACATCGCTATCACAGTTCTCCCTTGCAGGGTTGTCTATGGTAGACAACCACTTTGGGCCAGACCACCACAGTTAGACGATGCTAGTTGTGTAGGCAGGATGCCACGTGATGGAATGTCTGCGGGATTTTCTACACCGGGACAGTGACTCCAGTGTTCTGCAGGAAACAGCCCTCTGATCTCTTCAACTCGACTCTGTACGTATTGTTTCCATTCTTTCTCCTGCTGCGTAATCCAATACAATGCGACCTTAGAATCCGTCCAACACTGAACCTTTGAAATTTCAATCACAGACTCCAGGGCCCTCTGAGTAACATTCATTAATCTGGCAAGCACGAGCGCTGAGAGTAACTCCAACCTTGGAATCGTTTGTTTTGTTAAGGGTGCCACTCTTGCCTTCAATATCACCAACCGGACATGGGATGCTTTTGGTGTGATGATTCTGAGGTATATTACGGCAGCGTACGCTTTGATAGATGCATCGCAGAACCCATGAAGCTTGTAGGATAAGACTTGCTCCTGCACATCGGGCACATAGTATCTTGGAATGACAACAGGTTGGACTTCTCTCAGGTTTTCAACTAATTTCTGCCAGTTGCATTTTAGGGTTCCCTGAAGTGGATGATCCCAGTCGCCCTTTGCCATACAGGGCCCTGGAGTCTGTGCTCCTGCACATCGGACACATAGTATCTTGGAATGACAACAGGTTGGACTTCTCTCAGGTTTTCAACTAATTTCTGCCAGTTGCATTTTAGGGTTCCCTGAAGTGGATGATCCCAGTCGCCCTTTGCCATACAGAGTTCTTGAAACAACAGCTTGAAATTTATTGTTAATGGGGATATAAAACCCATAGGATCGTAAATCTTGGAAGAAACACTGATCACATTTCTCTTCGTAGGTTGAACGTTGTTCGCCAACTCTGCAACGTCCTTGAGATCAATAATAAGATTGTCCTCGTAAGAATCCCATAAGGTTCCTAGAATTTTCTGTTCATCATCACTGATTGGAAGGCGAGGACCCAATGTACTTCCGACATAAGATGACTGCTCCTCCTGAACCAAGTGCTTGGGCTTATTGGTATCAGCTCTAGTCATGATACTTCCACTCGATGCATCATTCTTTGTCAACAGTTGGTTGGCTTGACATATCAGCTCTTGGAGTTCCTTAGAATTCGTGGTTATCTTTCGCAAATTGAAGTTGGCCTTTGCCAATCGGTTTCTTGAATCTTCATAGAGTTTGAATGTGCTGTCCACACTTTCACCACCGGAAATAAGGTCATCCACATAAATCGAATTCAGGAACGTTTCCACAAAACTCGGATCATCTTCTCGGTACTGTTCAATGTGGTGTTTTATTGTGGCATTTAGTAGGAAAGGACTCGATGACACACCAAACACCACTCTGGTAAATCGAAATGGGATAATCTTAGGGTTTGGGCTATGTACATCATCGACCCACAGGAATCTCAATGCATCCCTATCAGACTCTGCTACATGGATCATGAGGAAAGCCTTCTCTATATCTCCAGTTAAGGCCACCTTGTATGTCCGAAAACGCATCATTATGTCAACGATGTTCTGAGTCAGCGAGGGACCACTATACAGGCAGTCGTTAAGTGAAGGTCCTCTTGACTTCGCCGAGGCGTCATACACTACTCTCAATTTGGTTGTTGTTTTGTCTTGACGGATGACAGCATGATGAGGTAAATAGTGCATACACTTGATTTCTTCGTTTGGTTCTGGTGCGGACTCCACGATTCCCTTGTTAAGCTGATCTCTTATCACATTGTCATACTCCTTAAGGACTTCAGGCTCGTTACGCAATCGCTTCAGCAACCCTAATAGACGTTTCTTGCTAAGATCATAGTTATTAGGCAGTTCAGCATGATCGGGTTTCCATGGCAACTTTACCTCATAATGATTCTCCGCATACTGAATACTTTCTAGAAATTCTTCGTACACACACTGTGGTTGAATACCAACAGTTTCTAAGTCCCAAAATCTCTTCAGCTCTTGCACAAGGACATCATTCTTACATTCAACTTCTTCAGAGGCGCATTTTAGGGTATGGATTGTAGCAAGATTGCTGGTGTGGGTTGATTTCCGTGATTCATTTCCAACAGGCCCAGAAAGAACCCAACCAAGCCTTGTTTGAATGGCAGTTGGACCGCTACTTCCCTGTCGGGTTTTTCCTGTCACAATCTTCCAGTAATGATCGGAACCGATCAAGATATCCACTTTCGCATTGTGGTGACCTGACGAGTAATCAGCTAGGTAGAGGTTGGCCAGATGCGGGTAGGTCTTGCTAGCATTCAACACGAACTGGTTCTTTAATGGCTGACAAATTAACGGCACAGTGAACGCTGATACTTCAATGTTCGCTCCATGGGCAGTTTCTATACCAAGGTTAACCACATCAATAACTTGAGCATTAGTCGCGTTGGAGCCAAACGTTTTTATATTTATCGAACTTTGACCCCTTGACTGTAGACTGAGAGATCCTGTCAGTTCATTGCTGATATATGAACACTGACTCCCACCATCCAAAATTAGTCTAGCCTTGATCTTGGGACCCTCAGGATTATCTGGATTATATATATTCGCCCTAGCAGTCTGAAGAAGAACACAGTTTGATGACGTTGTGTGACACACAGTTGCATCCGGATCGGTTGTCGGACTAGGGTTTCTCTGTGGGTTTTCCCTTTGCCTGGTTTGACTGTTTTGCTCATGTTCCTCTGGGGGGTCTTTAGGAGGTGGAGGTGGCTTCTTGCCCTTGCATATGCTGATATGATGTCGCCCCTTACACACGTAGCAACGCGTTGTTGACTTACAATTTGGGCTGATATGATCCTTTCGTAGGCACACAAAACATCTCCCCGTCTTCCTTAAGATATCTTGACGAGCAGCCGGAGTAGTCACAGTTGTACAGTCCTTTGATGGGTGGGGTCCTCTGCAGTAAGTGCAACTTGGGTTATTACCAGTGCTGTTATTAACCAATGCTGAGGCTGAACCATGGTGTTTCTTGAAATCCTTGTTGGTTGGAGGTGCTTTAATTCTCTCTCTGGCTTCTAGTTCTTGCTGGAAGGTTTTCAGTAGTTTGTCCAAATTCCATTCGTTTTCCTTAACCACTCTGCTAACAACCAGCTGCAAGTTTGTCGGTAGCTTTGACATTAACATTGAAGAAAGAAGGTTCCCATACGATTCAGGTTCTACTCCCATCGATTTCAAGCTTCTGATATGCGATTGCACTGTGTCATGAAGTTGGCGCAAACCCTTCAGGTTATTTTCAGATGTAACTGATGGGAGATTTAACAAAATATCCATATGTCGATTTATAATTTGCTGTTTATTCCCAAACCTTGCTTTCAAAATAACAATTGCTTCTTCATAATTTGCATTACTTAGAGATAACCCTGCAATAGACTCAGCTGCAGCTCCATCCATGAAGGACTTAAGATAATTGAACTTATCAATTGGTGCTAAGGAGGGATTATTGTGGATAGAGGCTTGAAATGTATCCCAGAATGGGTTCCACTGGCTGGGATCACCAGAAAACCTTCTTAGGATTAACTTTGGCAACTTTACTTGCGCTACATGATTGATTGGTTGGGCTGCTGTATGCCCCCCGGGTGATGCTGGTGGTACATGTATGGTAAGAGGTTCTACTGGTTGGGGTGGATTCACAATTGATGTAGAAGACTGACCCATATTAGGGATTTCATTTTCACTGGATGTACCAGGCTGACTTGAATTTTGATTCTGTGATAGTAACATGCTTGCATTACTGTCACCACCTTGAGGTGATGCTGGGGTTTCACTGGCCATTGGTGGGGTGTTACTTGTTACATTTTCAGTCACATCAGATAATGCAGATGAACCAAACATGCTAGAGGTATTATTGAGTGCTCTTTCTACATTTTCTAAAGCCAATTGCAGTCCTTCTCTAGAAATATCACAGTGTTCAATTTCTTCCTCAATATTCTCTTCATCAACTAGTTCAAGAATTTCCTGATCAAGGACCTTTAATGTTTCAAGTTTTTCTTTCATGCTAGTTTTAAGTTGATTCAGTTTAGGCACAATTTCTTCTATATTGTTTGAGTCAAACAAACTGAGTGTTTCACTCACCGTCCTTTAAAGTCGTGTAGCCGAAGCTCGATGAGCCCCTCTTAGCCTCTTCTTCCTCGATAGATCAGCGCTCATACTTTATAGTTCTCGTTGAGATTTGTTTAAATTCCAGACTCAACTCAATTATTTTGATTTCCACTGGCTCAGAATCCAGTATTCTCCGTTATAAATCTTTAGACTTGCTGACATCCGGCTCGAAGGACCATGTTGTATAATTTTTGATTTACTGTATCTCTCCTCTTCGTAACTGTTATAATATATTTCATACAAACCAAAATCTAAACATCTTTTCTATTTTACATCTCGACTACAACGAACGAACAGACAACGTTTTTCCACGTGGCATAAATTAACTTACGCCACAGCTAACCCAAAATAATAATAACGCAACCATCATAAATATATCTCACAGAGGCATTTCTGCTTTCACTTTGTTTAAAGGTAACAATGGTTTGTGAGCTCAGTGATCTGACAAGAACTGGTGCTTTCCAAGTGGTATGGACGTAGACATCTTGTTTGAGAAAACGATAACTTTTGATATGTGAATATGTCTTGGGAAAGTTAAACAAACAAAATCCTCTTGGGCAAATTATTGAGAACATTGATATAATTTTCTAAGAACAAATCAAAAGGGGTCTATGACACAAAGTATTCCCCAAAAGGTCACCCTTACAAGTACTAACTTCGCCCAACTTGTTTTAACTTTGTTGATCAGACGAGAACCAGTGCTTTCAAAGTGGTATGGACATAGATGTATTGTTTGAGAAAACAAGAACTTTTGATTTATGAATATTTTTGGGGAAAATTTAAACAAACAAAATCCTCTGATGCAAATTATGGGAACATTGGAATTAAACAAACAAAATCTTCTAGGGCAAAGTATTCCCAAGTGCTCACCTGGCCAAGTACTACTAACTTGCCCTTATGCAAATTATGAGAACATTGGAATAATTTTCTGGGAATAAATCAAAAGGGGTCTGCAACACAAAGTAATCCCAAGTGGTCACCCATGCAAGAGGTCACCCATGCAAGTACTAACTTCACCCAACTTGTTTTAACTTTGTTGATCCAACAAGAAGCAGTGCTTTCAAAGTGGTATGGACATAGACATCTTCTTTGAGAAAACAAGAACTTTTGATGTATGAATATTTTGCAGGAAATTTAAACAAACAAAATCCTCTTTGGCAAATTAATGAGAACATTGGAATAATTTTCTGGGGAGTAAATCAAATGGGGTCTACAACACAAAGTATTCCCAAGAGGTCACCCATCCAAGTACTAACTTCACCTGACTTCTTTTAGCTTTGGTGATCAGATGAGAACCGGTGATTTCCGAGTGAAATGGACGTAGACTTCTTGTTACAGAAAAGAATAATTTTTTGATCTATCAATATTTTTGGGGAAATTTAAAAAAACAAAATCCTCTTTAGCAAATTTATAGAAGAATTGGAATATTTTTTTAGGAATAAATTGAAAGGGGCCTACGACACGAAGTATTCCCAAGAGGTCACCCATCTAAGTACTAACTTCGCCTGATTTTGTTTTAACTTTGGTGATTGGACGAAAACCGGTGATTTCCGAGTGAAATGGATGCAGACTTCTTGTTAGAGAAAAAAGAATTTCTTGATCTATGGAATATTTTGGGGGAAATTTAAACAACAAAATCCTCTTATGCAAATTAATGAGAACATTGGAATAATTTTCCCTAGAACAATTTTTCCCCAGAATAATTTTCCCTGCAAACAACAAAGTATTCCCAAGTGGTCACCGATCCAAGTAGTAACTTTGCCCGACTTGTGGTGACCCATGCAAGTACTAACTTCGCCCGACTTGTTTTAACTTCGATGATCAGATGAGAACCGGTGCTTTCAAAGTGGTATGAACATAGACATCTTGTTTGAAAAAACAAGAGCTTTTGATCTAAGTATATTTTTTGGGAAAGTTAAACAAACATAATCCTCTTAGGCAAATTAATGAGATCGTTGGAATATTTTTCTGGGGAGTAAATCAAAAGGGGTCTACGACACGAAGTATTCCCAAGAGGTCACCAATCCAAGTACTAACTTCACCTGACTTGTTTTAACTTCGGTGATCAGACGAAAACCGGTGATTTCCAAGTGGAATGGATGTAGAGTTCTTGTTAGACAAAAGAAGAATTTTTTTATCTATCAATATTTTTGATAAAGTGAAACAAACAAAAATCCTCTTGGGCAAAGTACTCCCAAGCGCTCACGTGGCTAAGTACTAACTTTGCCCAACTTGTTTTAACTTCGGTGATCAGACAAAAACCAGTGATTTCCAAGTGGAATTGATGTAGACTACTTGTTAGAGAAAAGAATAATTTTTTTATCTATGAATATTTTTGAGGAAAGTAAAACAAACCATTGGAATAATTTTCTCGGAATAAATCAAAAGGGGTCACCCATCCAAGAATTAACTTCACCTGACTTGTTTTAACTTCGGTGATCAGACAAAAACCGGTGAATTAAAAGTGGAATGGATGTAGAGTTCTTGTTAGAGAAAAGAATAATTTTTTTATCCATCAATATTTTGGAGGAAAGTTAAACAAAAAAAATTTTCTTGGGGAAATTAATGAGAACATTGGAATAATTTCTTGGGAGTAAATCAAAAGATGTCTACGACACGAAGTATTCCCAAGAGGTCACTGTAATGTATGGGATTTAGTACCATTTGGTGTATGTGATATAGTTAGCTTTAGGTTAAATACCAGGCTCCTACGGCTAGGTGTGGCTGTTAACGAAGCCAAAATGGCGAGTATTAATATTATAAAATTACACGTTTAATCGAGAAGAATCCGTGTCATTTACTGACCATCACGGCATATAACATTGGCGACGAGGAAAAACAATATTTGTAGAAGACTTTTAAACAATTAATAAAAGAAATACATGGAGGAAAACAACAATAATAGTATTAAAACGTTTGACTGTTTTCGAGACCCCGAAACACTTGGGTTAAGATGGAAACGGTGGTTATCTGGTTTCGAATTATATGCAGATGGTAAAGGTTTAATTATTACAAGAGATAATGCGACAGTTGAACAGAGAAGACATGCCTTATTGTTGCATCTAGCAGGACCAGATGTCCAGGACATATTTTCAACCCTACTTGAAACAGGTGATGTTGAAGATTACGATAAAGCTATTATCCCTTTGAATAAGTATTTTATTCCAAAAGTCGATACAACATATGCAAGGCATTGTTTTAGAAGTTATAGAAAATAAACTCAGGCACCAGGGGAATTTGCAACTAGGTGAAGACGAGCTGCAAAAGACTGTGATTATGGAGAGGAAACGGACAATCAAATCCGTGATGAAATCCTTTGCAAATGTATAAGTTCATATATTAAAAGAAAACTTTTAGAGGTGGGTCAAGGACTAACCCTACAACGAGCACTAGAAATTGCTGAGAATTGTGAGAAAGTTAATTCACAGTTGGCAGCCATGTCGGCAGTGAAACAGGACGGTGGTGAAGTTGTGAATTATGTAACAGGGAAAAAAGATGGTTGGCAAACATAATAGAAAACAGAGAATGGGTGAAGATAAAACTTGTTACAGATGTGGCAAAACTGTCATTTCGGAAAAGATTTTAGCTGTCCAGCAAGAGGAAAAGTCTGTCGAAAGTGTGGGTTAAAAGACCATTTCGAAGTAAAATGTAAGACAAAGCCCAAGGAAGAGAAAAGGCATAACATCAATCGACACTCGCAGCGTTGATAGGCAAACTTGGGAATGGCTGAAAAAAACGAACGTCGTGTGTACGTCAACTCGTTCAGAAAAGAAACTTTATACCTATGCTTCACAGGAACCATTGGAGATAATTGGGACATTTAATTGCAAAGTTTCTGTTGGTCATCGTACCTCTGATGCAGATTTGTGTCATTTCTGGGAAAGGAGAGTCACTCCTTGTAAAGATACAGCCATGAAACTTGGAGTTCTAAAGATGGGCATGGATATTGCTTCAGTGAGGTCAAAAACCACAGAATGTCGAAGAAATGATTCAGATAAAATATCCAGAAGTTTTTAAAGCCGTTGGCAAGTTGAAAGGTTGGACAGTACAACTTCATATTAATTCAGAAGTAAAGCCAGTAGCCCAACCAGTTCGAAGGATTCATTTTGCGATCCGTTCAGTTTGCGACCCAAAGTTGAAGAAAAGATTAATGAACTTATAAATCTAGATATTATTGAATCAGTGGAAGGTCCAACATCATGGGTCAATCCAGTGGTAATAGTTCGAAACCAAATGGGGAGATAAGACTTTGCGTTGATATGCGCAGAGCGAACGAGGCTATTATGCGTGAAAGGCATCCCATTCCCACAGTTGGTGAGATTACACAAGGCATGAATGGAAGCAGTGTCTTAAGTAAGCTTTATTTAAAGTGGGGGTACCATCAGTTAGAACTAACTCCTGAATCGAGAGATATCACCGCGTTTGTCCCCCATTGTGGATTATACAGATATAAAATACTATTGTTTGGAGTCAATTCTGCATCGGAGCAATATCAGCATAAAATTCAGAGAGTACTTGCAGGATTAGAGGGGCAAGTAAATATATCTGATGACATTATTGTATACGAACAGAACCAAAAGGAACATGACACTCGATTAGAGAATGTTGTCAAGAGATTGAAAGATTTTGGGTTAACACTGAATGTTGAGAAGTGCCAATTTAGCATGGATCGTCTGACATTTGTTGGAATGGTCTTGTCTGGAAAGGGTATTAGCTGCACAGAAGAAAAGGTGAAAGCAGTAGTCGAAGCTAGAGAACCAGAATCAGCATCAGAAGTGCGAAGCTTTCTGGGGCTGGTTAATTATTGTGGTCGGTTTATCCCTGATTTGGCAACCATATCAGAACCCTTAAGATGTCTGACAAAGAAGGGAGTACCATTTAGTTTTGGGCCGAAG